TTATTTATTTATTTATTTATTTATTTATTTATTTATTTATTTATTTATTTATTTATTTATTTATTAGGGTAAAGTTTGAGGAAAGAGATACATTTGATGGTAACCAACAAGCAAGAAAAGAATTAATAGATTGTCTCTTTAATAGCAGCAGCAGCAGCAGCAGCAGCAGCAGCAGCAGCAGCAGCAGCAGCAGCAGCAGCAGCACGACAGATAAAAAAGATAATTAATTAATTAATTAATTAATTTATAAATAATTAATATTAATTAGTAATACATTTAAAACTGCACTGTTGCAGCAGCAGAACAATAACAGCTGCAGTGCAGCAGCTGCTGCTGCTGCTGCAGTAACAGCAGCAGCAATAACAATAGCCACAGCAGCAGCATTAGCAGCACGCCATTCCTACTGCAGCAGGCTAAGCAGCTATGTAGACAGCAGCAGGGTACAGCATAACATTGGCAGCAAACTGCTGTTGCAGCAGCAGCAGCGGCAGCATACTGCTGCTGCAGCAGAAAAGTGCAGCAGCAGCTGCAGCAGCAACAGCAGCAGCAAACTGCTGCAGCAGCACAATTAGTAGTCGCAGCAGCAGGTTCTTGTGCAGACACAGGGGCCGGCGTTGTTTGTCTATTTGCTGCAGCAAATAGCACTAGAAACAGCTGCAGCAGCAGCTGCAGCAGCAGCAGCAGCAAACTGCAGCAGCAGCAGCAGCAGCAGCAGCAGCAGGGGGAATTGATGCTGCTTTTCTTATATTTTGTCTTTTATTATGTTTTTCCTCCTTCATTGATTTTAATTTTATTTTTATTTTTTTTTATTTATTTATTTATTTAATTAATAATTATGCATGCAGTTGGGGTGTATAGGCAGCTAATAATAAATAACTTAGAGGAGTAACGAATTAGTTCTGCTGCTGCTGCTGCTGCTGCGGTACTGTGCTGCTGTTCTTTGCTGTTGCTGCTGCTGCTGCTGCAAGGGAGCACTTATAGTTGCACCAAAGACAGCAGCAGCATCTGTTGCTGCAGCAGAGAATTGCAGCAGCAGCAGCAGCAACAGCAGCAGCAGAGCAGCGCAGCAGCAGTGTAGAGATACACCCTAGCAGCAGCAAGACGCAGCACCTAATGGCCGTCAGCTCGCCGCTACTAAGCGGTGCTGCAGGGGTGTTGTTGTTGCTGCTGCTGCTGCAGCAGCAGCAGAAGACGAAGAAGCAATGCATGCAAGGGAGAAAGCTTCTGCTGCTGTCAATGCAGGGAAATCCTCCAGCAGCAAGACACCAGGCAGCAGCTCCGCCAACTCCCCCCGCCTCCGTCTCTGCTTCTGCTGCTTCTGCTGCTGTTTTTGCTGCTGCTGCTGCTGCTGCTCCAGCTGTACGTACACCTCGCGCTCACCCACGTGGTGCAGGGCCACTTCTCCTGTTGCTTCTGTTGTAACCAAAACTCTTCGAGACAACGCCTGCAGAAAAAAGCCCCAAAAATACGCATGCATGCATGCATGCATGCATGCACACGTGCATGTTTGTGGGGCTGCATGCAAGAATGCATGCATGCATGCATTCTTGCATGCAAGAGGCTTACTGGCTTAATGTCTATTTGGGTATAATCTAAGCCAGGTACCCCCCTTGGCAAGGGCCCCACAGGTGCTGCAGCAGCAGCAGCAGCAGCAAAATCTTTAGCCTGTGCAGACACTGCAGCAGCAGGAGGAAGGCAGCAAATAAAGAAGCAAATTTCCTTAAATATCTCCCGCTGCTGCACAGACAGCCGCTGCTGCTGCTGCGACAGCAGCAGCACAGCAGCATCAAGTCTTCTTAGCAGCAGCTGCTGCTGCTGCAGCGTCTTCTCTACCCCGTCCTTGCTGCATGCACAAATAAACAGTAACACTACAGAAACCCTCTTGCTGCAGCCGCTGCTGCATGTGCTGCTGCTGCTACTGCTGCTGTACGTCCTTCTGCAGATGCAGCAGCACTGTCAGCAGCAGCTCTTACCAGCAACTGCCCCCACACCTGCACACCAGCAGCAGCACCCACAGCAGCAGCAACAACAGCAGCAGCAGCAACAGCAGCAGCAGCAACAGCAGCAGCAGCAGCAGCATACCGCATCATCTGGAAGAGGCAGAGAGCAGCAGCATAGGCAACATTGCAGATGCTGCTGCAGGGAAGAGCAGCAAGAGCAGCAGACAGCTGCGGTGTCAGCAGCAAGGATCCCTGCAGGACAAAAGACACAACAATCAACACCTCTGCAGCAGCAGCAGCAACACCAACTATACCACCAACAGCAGCAGCAGCAGCAACAGCAACAGCAGCAACAGCAGCAACAGCAGCAGCAGCTTACAACAAGCTCAATATCCTTAGGTGCTAATAATGCCAATAGTAGGGATATGTTGGGTATTGAGGTGTACATACACCCCAATTTATCTTCTATAGCAGCTAAACATATTTGCTGCAGTTTAGGGCAATGCAGCCTGCAGACATAAATATATAAAAGATAATCTGCTGCTGCTGCTGCTGTTGCTGCTGCTGTTGTTGTTGCTGCTGCTGCTGCGGCGGCGGCGGCGTGCTGCTCGTGCTGCACCCACCTGTACTTATGCTGAAGATGGAGCATCTTTCCTAAACCCTCCCAACTGTTGCATGCCTCGGGCGCCCTCTGCAGCAGCTCCTCCCTGCAGCAGCAGCAGCAGCAGCAGCAGCAGCAGCAGCAGCAGCAGCAGCAGCAGCAGCAGCAGAAGCAGGGTAAAAGAGAGGCACTTGCAATTTTGTTTGTTTGCAGCAAATAAAGAATACAGAGGGCAGACAGTCCTGCAGCAGCAGCCGCTGCTGCTGCTGCAGATACAGCAGCAGCAGCAGCAGATGCACAGGCGGTTGCTGCAGCATACCTCAGTGCCTCCAGGTGTGCAGACAGTCCATAGCGAGCAGCAGCAGCAGCAGCAAGCAGCAAATCGCGAATATTAAGTGCCTGCATGCAGCAGATGACAAAGTAGCGCAGACACTAACGAGAGAGATAGACAAACAAACAGCAGCAAGGGTTTAGGGTTTAGGGTTTAGGGTTTAGGGTTTAGGGTTTAGGGTTTAGGGTTTAGGGTTTACGCCTAGCCCGTCTTCTAGTCTTTGTTGGAAGAGGGAGAGAAGATCGTCATGATGATAATGCATGCGGCTTAATGCCTCTACGCAGCTGCAGCAACAAAGAACAGACATGGACAGTTGCTGCTGCTGCTGCTGCTGCTTCTGCAGTTGCTGCTGCAGTTGCTGCTGCAGTTGCTGCTGCTGCTGCTGCTGCTGCACCTTAAGAGAGTAGTAGAACTTTTGCTTATTTCGCTACATAAAAGAGATGCTTGTGTTGCTAGACCATCTACTAGCAGCAGCAGATTACGATTGTCTTGGTTGTTGCCTCTGTCTGCTGCTGCTGCTGCTGTTCCCTCTTTTGCTGCTGCTGCTGCTGCTCTTGCTGCACCGCCAGCATGGAGGGCTGCAAGGCTGCAAAGAGCAGAAGGCAAATGATGGGACTCTAGTAGGTGCAGCACCTCCAGCGTCCGCTGCTGCAGCGGCTGCTGCACCTGCATGCAAATCGCAGCAACGAGGCATCAGCAGCATCAGCAGGATATATTCAAGAAGAATAAAAGGAGGAAAAAGGAATAAAAAAAAGAAAAAAAGAGGAAAAAAGAGGAAAAAAGAGGAAAAAAGAGGAAAAAAGAGGAAAAAAGGAAGAAAGAGGAGGACGCGCACGAAGGAGTAAAAACGAGAAAAAAAGAGTAAAAAGGGCAAAAAGGAAGAAGAAAAGGATTAATAAAGACTAGAATGTATCTAAAAAAGCATAAAAAGGACTAAAAAGGACTAAACAAGAGAAAAAAGGAGCAAAAAAGAACAAAAAAAAAGAAAAAAAAGAAGAAAAAACGCACAAATGGATGCGAAAATCCCAACTTTGCAGAAAAACGAAAAAATTCGATCGCGCGAGGAGGAGAGGAGGAAATAATTAAATCTTCTGCCCTAAATAAATAAATAAATAAATAAATAAATATATTTAATTATATTAATTATATTTATCTATTTATTTTATTAATTTACTCATTAATCGCTACTTATTAAGGTATTTATTGCTCTCTTTTTTCCCTATTTTATTGTATATATATACATATATACGTATTTATTTTTCTTGTATATATACATATATAAATAAATATAAATAAATATAAATAAATATAAATAAATATAAATAAATATAAATATAAATAAATATAAATAAATAAATATAAATATATAGATGTATATATGTATATTATTATCTTACCTCCCTGCAACAGCAGCAAGAAGGGCCTCATCTGCATAAGGTGCAGCAGCAAATAGCTGCAGCAGCTGCACCAACTGCAGCGGGAAAAAAGTTGCTGCTTTTGCATGCAGCAGCGAGGACAATAGAGGCCATTGGTCTGCTGCACCAGCTGGGTAGGCAGCCTGCAGCAGCACAAGCAGCAGCAGCAGCAACAGCAGCAGCAGCAGCAGTTATGCAGTCTTCTCTATATACATAAATAGATAGATGGATAGCTAGCTAGCTAGCTAGCCAATGCGCCTGCCTGCGTAGCTAGCTAGGCTGTCTATACAGCTAGACAGTCTAGGTAGCTAGCTAGCTGGCTAGCTAGCTACCTAGCCAGCTAGCTAGCTAGCTAGCTAGCTAGTGCTCCTTCTTACCGCTTGTGTGCATTTATTAACAAAATCATCTCCTTCTGCCTTAGGCAAATCCAGCAGCAGCTGAGCTCGATCTGTTACCAGGCCTCTCCTGCTGCTGCTGCTGCTGCTGCTGCTGCTGCAGATGTTGCTGAAGCTGCTGCTGTGGATGCTGCTGCTGCAGATGCTGCAGCAGCAGCTGTTGGGCTGCGTAGCATGCGCTGCAAAGGAGGGAAGAAGACATCTTCTCCTCAAGTGCATGCCTTGCTGCGACGGAAACGTAGTGTTCGGAGCTGCTGCTGCTGCTGCTGCTGCTGCTGCTGGGGTAGTACACCCACCGGGTGCTGCGAAGGATCTGCTGCGAGGCAGCAGCAGCAGCCGCTGCTGCTGCTGCAGGCTTGTGCGCAGCATCCGGCTGCAGTTAGGGTTGTCTGTGGTGTACTAAGAATTGCAGGTACACGTGATGCTGCTGCTGCTGCTGCTGGTGCTGCTGGCTATGGTTGTTGCAGCAGCAGCAGCAGGCGAAGAAGAAGCAGCAGCATATAGGGTTTCAATTTTAATTTAGGTGTCGATACACCTCAGCCCTCATGGGGCCTTCGGCGATCGAGGGGCCCCGCAGCTGTCGAGTAGGCGGTGGCTCCTTAAAACCCTAAACCCTAAACCCTAAACCCTAATTTAAATTCTATATTATAAAGCATTTAAATGAGAAAATTTGTTAAATATTCATCTTTTGCCCCAATTATTTCCTATTCAGTGCCCTGGGGGGCCCAGGGGGCCCCTCAGGGGCCCCCGGCGTACGGTACCGAGTTTTCATCTCATAAACCCTAAACCCTAAATCCTAAACCCTAAACACTAATTTAAACCCTAAAATATATTTCATAAACCCTAGACTCTAATCTTTAGTCCCTAGAATCTACACTATAGCCTAACATCTAAACCAGAAACACCAAACCCTAAACCCTAAACCCTAAACCCTAAACCCTAGGCCTAGCAGCGGCTAGCGGAGGAAATAAATCTTTTTCTTGCTGCTTTGCTTTTTTTTTGTTTATTTTTGTTTTATTGAGTTATTGATGTGTATTAACATATATAAAAAAGATATATTTAAGTACGCATGCACCAATATATAATATTTATTCCTCCTCCTCCTCCTTCCTTGTCTTGCAATGTGTTAGGTAAGAGAAGAAAAAAAGCGTAGCCAGCTGCTGGGTATGCAGACAAGAGAGGACTAGGGTTTAGGGTTTAGGGTTTAGGGTTTAGGGTTTTGATGGGGTAAAGATGAATATATTGCATTTTTTTATAAGAACTACTTATTGTACAAATCTCTCCCCCCCCTATCTGCCTAGATTAACTATACTTCTTCTTATACCTAATTTATATATTATAAATAAATATAAATATAAATATAAATATAAATATAAATATAAATATAAATAAATAAATAAATAAATAAATATATACATTTTTATATATTTATTATATAATTGACGTAAATCATCAAGAAGTTTTTTTCTCCTTTTATATACAAACACCAATAAACCAGAATCCCCTTCCTGCTGCGCGGCTATAACTCCCTGATCGGGCAGCAGCAGAACTAGCAGCAACAGCAACAGCAGCAGCAGCAGCAGCAGCAGGTGCTGCTGCTGCTGTTGTTGCTGTTTCTACGTCTGTGTTGCTACTGCAAAAGCAGCAGCAATTTAGGCTTAATCTTTAGCATATAGATAGACATAAATGTTATAGCTGTACAGCGGGCTGCTGCTGCTGCTGCTGCTGCTGCTGCTGGTACTGCGTGCAGCAAAAGAGCAGCGGCAGCAGCAGCAGCAGCAACTGCAGCAACAGATTTAGGCGTCTTCGCACCATCTGTTCTCTTCTCTAATCTGCAGAGGAAAAAAACATTCAAACAATCGAGAGGCATCAACAGAAACGCCAGCAGCAGCAGCAGCAGCAGCAGCAGCAGCAGCAGCAGCAGCAGCAGCAGCAGCAGCACTGTTATGTACCTGGGCCTCCTCTTCTGGAGTAAAGTCGTTGACAATGTTAAATTCCCTGCGGATTTCCTCGGGGCTCCTGCCTAAGGAGAAGCGCAGCAGCAGCAGCAGCAGCAGCAGCAGGAGCAGCAGGAGCAGCAAGCATGGCGATAATCAGCAGAAGCAGCAGAAACAGCAAAAGCAAAAGCAGGAGAAACAGCAGCAACAACAACAGCAGCAGCAGCAGCAGCAGCAGCAGACCTTTAATCATGGATGCAACCTTGGCGGAGGTAAGGAGGAGTAAGGAAGGAATGTTGAGATAATCTGCTGCTAGCAGCAAATCAAAAAGAACTGTTTGCTCAACATTAACAAAGTTGAAGTCAAATTCAGATACAACCTGCAGCAGCAGCAGCAGCAGCAGCAGCAACAGCAGCAACAGCAGCAGCAGAAGCAACAGCAGCAGCAACAGCAGCACCAGCGGCAGAAGCAGCAGAAGCAAAGTAAAAGAAATGAGGAAACTTCAGGTACACACCTCGTGCAGTACAGAACACCACAAGGAAGCGGGCAAACAAACAACACTAAAATAAATAAATAAATAATAAATAAATAAATTAATTATAAATAATATATAAATAAACAAATAAAATAAATAAATAAATAAATAAATAAATAAATAAATAAATAAACATCACCGAGCTACGGCACATTCTCCTCCTCCGTCAAGCAGCAACGGCTGACACAAAAAGGAAGCTAAGTATAATCCAGCCCCAAATATGCAATGCATGTGCTGCATGCATGCATTTTGCTCTTTTTCCCTTCTTACTCTCCGTGTGGAGAGGCGGAGAGGAGTAGCTGTCCTTGCATGCACACCATTACACATTTATACTCACACCTCTGTATATTATCTGCTTAACGCATGCAGTACATTAACGGATATGCACGTATTGCATGCAATAACTGCATGCATGCATTGCATGCATGCATTTACCTCTGCGAGGTTGCTGGTCTTGAGAGGCGTAGGAATATCTTCTGGAGGATTGTCATGATGATGCGTACAATACTCCACGACTTTCTTGAGGATATAACTGCTAACTTTAGGCAAAGGAACTACATCTGTGTCGTCTCCATCTGCAGCAGCAATTAAGCAGCAGCAGCAGCAGCAGCAGAAGCAGAAGCAGAAATGGAGAAAGCCCGAGAAGTGTTAGGAAACGTCCGCCCATCCTGGTGAGCTGTGAAGGCATAGGCCAGCAAGACAAAAACTCATGCCATGCCATGCATCCTTATTCCTAAACCCTAAACCCTAAACCCTAAACCCTAATAGAGTTTATGGGTTATCTGCTGTATATTTCCTTATATACCTTCTGTCATAGACTTGACGAGCAAAGAAGCAGAAGCAACTTCCCTAGGCACCTTGAATTCCTCTCCTTCGCTCGAAACAAGAACGACGCATCTTTGTTCAGACTCCATTTCGAAATCTGAACTTGAACTGTGGCGGTTCACGCAGTAGAGTGCTCAGCTCCGCTGAAAAATTGTCTGACGTCACCTTATGGAGAAACCGGGTGAGACAGGTAGAAAAAGACGATGGATTCACAAGAAGAAGATCAAGTTTTGCCTATTTGGAGAAAAAACCAACAAAAATGACCATTTATGTCGCTCTTATCAACATTCAACAAACGAACGCAACGATATGAACTTCAAGTGTAGTGCACAGGCACTACAATGTGGCTCTGGTGTGATTTCTAGTAGCTCATTGACCATAAAGAGAATAATTATGACATCAGCAATTAAGAAAGGGAATTAATGCTGCTAAATGTTCTAAGAATCGAGTACCGTAGATGGAGCCATAGGATAGTAGGATTACCCCGCCAGCTGCCACTATCGGCAGTGTAGCGTATTACCTAGTCACTACTTGGGTACCAGGTAGGCCCCTTTAGAGATCTAATTGAAAAAGAAATAGAATTATTACTATATATGAGTATTATGTCTATAAATAAGACTTTGGCGGATGCCAGTTATAGGTCAGGCTCCTTACTGTATCGTCAGCGTTGATATCCACCCGTCATCTAATAGGTTGGGCGCTGACACCCAGCCATGACCGGGGTCAATTAGGAACACAGTTCCTTTATTCTATGAACTCACGTTGTTAATACATGTGAATCTAACATGAATAGGTACTTGCAGCATAGACTTCTGAGGATTTGGGTAGTCGGAGATAGAACTTAGGAAGCCTGGCAGGACGAGATGATAAGTAGACACAGCTTGGGATGGCTGCGCACTACATTTCGGGGCTGTTCCAACCCAGTAACCTCTTCTCAATAGTGGAATGTATAATAAGAATCAGCCGCAGCACAATTAAAAAGCCAGGCAAAAGAAGACAGATCGTGATTGTGCCAATATACGCGGGCAAACCCAGTGGGAAGGATAATCGGGTCCAACGCCAGCGCGATAATTCCAATGCGGACTTCATTAGTTGATCGCATGGCGCTGTTAAACCCTCCTAGTGATTACCTTAGGACCGTTAACCTCAATATTCCACATGAGGATGGCAGGAATATGATGTGCTTCCTTCATCATATAGGGTTGGTGTTTGTCGAAACCGGAATACTCACGGAAAACTGAGGACAAGAATTGCCTACATATTTGACCGGAGAAGCATTAAATTACTGTTCTGCCTATGGGATACCCGGGAAACCGTCAGCAATTGGGAAGCTCTCAAACGTACTATGCTAACTAGATTCTGCGAGGTACCACGAGAAGAAATAGTCTCACGTTTATATGAAGTCAGATAGTAGGAAATCCAGTAAAGTATGCCTTCGAGTTTTCAGCAGTACTGTGTAAGGGAGAACACTTACCGCAGGAGCAGCAAGTGAACAATTTTTAGCGAACCTGCCTGACGAGATCGTACTGAGGATGACAAATGAGGGGCATGTCAAATTCACAACTTGGGAAGAAGCGGCTACAGTGTTGAAACAGATTGTAGTGCCTAGAGATGAGATATTGAAACAACTAAGGCAAACTGTGCAATATTTGGAAGAGACCCATTGGCATATTCGAAGTTGGTCCTCTAAGGAACCACGAAATATTGACAGAGGAAACCTACCGGACTGGCGAGTATCTAGGGAAAATGTTTCGTGTGCAGGGGCAGGGGGCATATAGCTTCGCAATGCCCCTCTCGCCAGGAAGCTCTACGTCGTACAGGGGAGATGTGCCGGATATGTGGGGGTGTACGGCATTATGGCCGGGATTGCCCCTCCCCAATGACTATGAGAACTGCTTCAGCAACGAAGCCCGAAAAGAGACAACCACGTTCTAACGTCACGGACGAGGGACGCTTAAACGATCGAGCCTAGTCGTCCATGTACTAGGCGACATGCTGAGGGTAAAGGAACTATCTGCGCAGTAGCAACATGACCACCACAGTAGTCTCCCCTGACTGGGAAAGGAAGCTGTTGTTAAAGGATAAGCAAGCAGGAACGGAAGGGAACTTAGCTGAGAAGCCGCAGCAGACATTAGTAGAGCCATGTAATTTAGGGATTATAACGCCCCCACAGGAAGAACCCAAGCCCAATGGAAAGCAAGAAAATGATGCACCCGATGTGTACGATAGAGAGTCACTGTGGTGGAGAGGCAACGGGGCCATCTCCAGTGTTAGAGGAATAATGTGTAATGCAGGGGCAATTGCCACTTCAGGGGTCAATGTGGCAGGAAGCGAATGCGAGGCACTATTAGATTCAGGGGCATCAAGGAGTTTTATCAGTCCTAGGAATGTGGATAGTCTACAGCTAAAAGTACGACGGCTAGGAGAGGAGTGCATTTTCCCAGTGGGCAACGGTGAGCAATTAAGGATTGATCGAGTAGCAAAGGGAGCAATAATGTGGTGTGGGGATGCGTGATTGTGCAGAGACTTCTTAGTAGGGCATCTACCATACGATTTAGTATTAGGACTAGATTGGCTAACTGAGCATAAGGCGGCGTGGTCCTTCCACGCTGATAAATTACGTGCATATGTAGATGGGAGATGGTCCTATCTAATACTAGATCGTACCAAGCAGAAGGAAACAAAGATAAACGCTCCTGTAGCACGTCTACGACCCCGGCAGAGCAACCTTATGATATACTTGCAAAACAGATAGCAGATCTGTCACTGGATGAGGCGAGAGCACTTCTACATCCACCTCCCCAAAGGTACAAAATACCCCCTCGGGCAAGGAACAAGGTGAAAATAGACACATTACTACAACAGGGTAAGGAGAACACAAATGAATTATCACACCCCCTACATGGGATGTCCAACATATTTGCCCTTCCGGTGGGCCGAAAATCTACAGATGAGGGGCAGGGAGCTCTGTGTTATGCTTTGTTTGAGACCTCACCAACTTCTGTCAGGTACACAGTTGCAGAACTCCCGGCAACTAGAGAGCTAATGAACGACGTGGAAGAATGGTCTTGGCCGACAGCCTCCTTATAACATACTCACATTGATGATTGGATGAAATAAGAGATTTCAAGGGCAACTCCACATCAAATCCTAGATGTACTGCGAGATTATTGTGCGGTATTCGCTGTTAAACTTCCTTGAGGACTGCCACCGAAGCGCCCATACGATCACAGGATCCTACCAGTGACAGGGAAGTTGTCGTCTAAGGCTACTATATATCATATGACACCCGAACAGCTCCAAGCACACAAACAGGAAATCGCTCAGTTATCGGCTAATGACTGGGTTGGACCTACATACTCACTTATATTTGCCCTCATAATCATGGTCAATAGAGGAGGGACAGGTGAACGCAAGATGCGGATGGTTGTGAATTACCGAAAGGTAAACGCACTCACTGTTGCCCCCGATTTCCCCCTCCCTTCGGTTCTAACTATACTTGAGATGTTAGGAGGAGCAAAATTGTTTTCTACTCTCGACGTGGAATCTGGCTTCCATCAAATCCGCATGACAAGGGCAGACAAGTGGAAAACAGCCTTCCGTTCGGTATTACGATTATTCGAATACAAGGTTATGCCTTTTGGTCTTACGGGAGCACCAGTTACCTTTCAGGCAAATATTAATACCTATTTACAACCGTTATTGGGTCAAGGAGTTATCGCCCATCTAGACGACACCCTTATCTACAGCCCCGATCTACCCAGTCACGAGGTTTTGCTCCGACATATGTTAGGAATCTTACTACAACATCACTTTTAGCCGAAGTTTCGAAAGTGTAAATTTGCCAAACAGGAACTTGCATACTTTGGATACACCATTAGAGGGAATTAAACCCGCAGCAGACAGTATTACAGCGATAAGGATGTGGCCCGAAGTGCTGGAAAATGAGACTCAGTTCATCAGTTCCTAGGCACGATCAACTACTGCCGCATGTTAATGGATCCGGAATTCGCAATCATAGCTCGGCCTCCTGTTGATCTTACACGAAAAGGGACACCCTTTGAATGGGCAGAATCTCATACTAACGCGGTGCGACAACTCAAACGACGTCTGATTGATTATACAGCTTTACAGATTCCAGACAGCGCAAAGCCATTTGATCTATACACCAATGCATCAGGATATACAATAGGAGCGATTCTTATGCAAGAGGGTCAGCCAATTGGATTCCTCAGTTAGGTCATGTACCCCGCACAGCAGAAGTACTCGACTTATGATCAGGGATTTTTGGTATTGGTCACCGCTCTCGGCAAATGGGCTCACTTCCTGCGAGTTGCAAAGGTCACCGCATACACAGACCACCATGCACTTACTCATTTACGAACGATCAAAGCATCAAAGCCATTACGAGGACGAACTGATCGATGGATAGATTTTGTGGCGGAGTTTCCAAACCTCATCATCACATATTTACCGGGTACGCGCAACCAAGTGGCTGATGAGTTGTCTCGTCTCCCTTGTCATCCCACACCAAAGGAATTGTATTCCGAATTGACCCCGGTCACGGCTGGGTGTCAGCGCCCAACCTATTAGATGACGGGGGAGATATCAAAGGTGACGACAGGGTAAGGACCCTGACCTATAACTGGCATCCACCAAAGTCGTATTTATAGACATAATACCCCTATATAGTAATAATTCTATTTCTTTTTCAATTAGATCTCTAAAGGGACCTACCTGGTACCCAAGTAGTGACTAGGTAATACGCTACACTGCTGATAGTGGCAGCTGGCGGGGTGATCCTACTAACCTACGGCTCCACCTACGGTAATCGATTCTTAGAACATTTAGCAGCATTAATTCCCTTTCTTAATTGCTAATGTCGTAATCATTTTCTTTATGGTCAATGAGCTACTAGAAATGACACCAGAGCCACATTGTAGTGCCTGTTCACTACACGAACGCTCTGGGGGCCCGCTACCGAGCCTCTTCTAACAATGATCTGTGCACTCTAACATACAGAACCAAGTTTGTTTAAGTTTCCTATTTGTTTTGTTTTACATGGCTATGCTTAGTGGCTCTTATTTGAATTTCCCACTTGCTTCTTCACCGCCTAGGCACGTGCAGGTGCAGGCCCCTAGCTGCTTCGGCCCATTCTCCCGCAGTCCATTTTTGTGGCATATGTTTTCTACAACCTTAGGCATGGAGATTATATGGCATATGGCTTAGGGTTTCCGGTTTACCTGCGAAGCATCCTTGCGCATGCTCGCCCCTCCTGTCTCGATAGTCACCTTGCTCGAAGCCCCCTACACCTAAGCTGCATTAGGGTTGGTATCATAGAGTGGGAGTAGTATTGAGGGTTTAACAACACGTGCTGCAGAGCCCATGGATGCGGGTCCGGACCTCCCTTTGAGGGTTTCGACGGCGTAACGCTGTGCAGGTCCTAGGGTTTTCGGCTCCCCATGTCGGCTGCGAAGCAGGGCAATGCAGGAGGGGAGCCCAAAGACTCGGGGGGGCCTCCAGCAGGAGAAGGCACCGCGGGGCCCCGTTCTGGGCCCTCCCGCGGCTCCGCAACCCTTTCTGGGGAGGACCTCTCCAATGCGTATAACTTGGGCCTCCGTAACAACAACGAATTGACACAGCAGCTGCTTCTTGACCAGGTATACTCCACTATTACCCCTTGAATGATGCACCACTAGCAAATCGGATGCAGAGCCAACTGCTTGTGGCTTACTATCTAGGGTTTATGGTTCAGAGTCTGCTCTGCAGGGTTGGTCGCGGGAAAAGATCGTCGCGGTCTTCAACCGACTAAATGAGGCGCGAGCTGGAGTCATCCGGAAGAAGGGCGATAGTGAGAATAATGATTTATTGTTCACAGTGTTTTAGTTGATATTCGAAATTTAGAATGCAGAGTCAGAGCAAGAACCCCACCCCAGGGAGGGGAGCCTTACATATTCCTAACACCAGACGAACCCTTGTCAGCTAAGTTTTGGGGTTTGGGGTTGGTTGTTGTTTGCAGGTGTGTGCTGCGTCGTCCGCCCTGCCAACGTAATCCCTGCCTTGAAACAACTCGACGCGCTTGACTACAAAGTTTACTGCGCCGTGGAGTTAGCGGGAAACACCGGTAAACCTAAGATGCAAACCCCAACCCTTAGTCACACAGAACCGAGGGTGCCAAGTATCTAGTTATGAACATTGCCTAGGAGCTTCTGGCTGCTTGTAGTACCATGCATCGAGTGGTGGGCTTGAAGGTTTTGGGGTTCGGCGGTCAGGGTTTACGTGCAGGTGTATGGACGGCGGACATTCGCAAGACCACAGGCCTCCAAACGCACATTATCCAGAGAGGGGTTCGAAATCTGTGTGAGAACCTGCAGCTCATAAAGCCTGTGAAGAGTATCCACGTTAAAAACAGAAAAATGTACATTTTGGCGCATATGGAACCTGCTAAAGAGGTGCGAACAAACCCTAAAGTAGAACGTATAAGCTGTTTTTCATTCTTAATTCATGCCTAGGCCTCAGCACATTGCTTGACAATACCTTCGGGATGCACCAATTCGATGCATTGCTGCCGGAAACCTTCACTTAAATCAGTTGGGCAGCTGGGGCCTTTGGCGTCTAAGCTTTACTGTTGAAGGTTTATAGGGCAAGGGGACCAGGGCTGCTGTGTCGCGCGCTTGCAGATAGCTGGTGGCTCTTTCTACACGAATGGGGAATTCAACGAAGAACTTGTGGAGGTACGAGCTCTCGAGGTTTAGCGTTTGCTCTTATTGCTAGTGGATAGAGCTTTCCGGCGACAGCACAGGCGGCTACATCATAAACAACTGCTTCATGCGCTTTAAGGGTCAGGGTTTAGGATTAGGATTTCGGATAGACAGAGCAAGAGGCTGAATGATGGGCATGCCATCCCAGCCGTTTGCTACAGGGAAACATCTAGGGTTTAGGGCTTGGGCTTTGGTGGCGTTACTGTTTGCAGCAACTGCGCGAGCGCCTGGCCATGTTCTTGTCCAACGCCCGGTCATCCACTTTCTCGGCTCTTGTAGCTTTCATGAGGAGCAGCGGTAACTTATGGAACACGAAACCTTTAAGTCCTTCCCATCCGTGTACTTGACTTGATACGAAGGTTCAGCATTGGGCAGTTTTCTGCATAATTACATCTTGAAGCCAGCATCTTTAATAAGCCTTTTTTGTGAAGGGAAAGCAAGCACAGGAGCATGCATCTGCACTGCGTTCACCGCTGCAGCTATTGCAACATGCGTAGCAGCACCAACCGTCATAGCAGAAGCAGGAGCAGCTGTGTTGGGTATACGGTTCAGGCGATGTGGGCGGGGGCTCCTTCACAGACGAGGATATTTCTCAGTTGGTGGCCACCCTTGAGTGTGAAGACAAAGTAGCCCGAATACGCACAGGGACTGAAACTACCTTTGTCGTAAGTCGCCCGCGTTCCTGCCGCTGCGGTTGCTTCTGCTGCTGCTGCTATCGGGTGAAGGGGCTGGTCCTTATAAAGCTCTTTGCGGAGGTGTGTCTGCCACAGTAGGAGGTGGGAGCGTTTTCTCTCTTCCCCCTCCCGCGGAAGTGAGGAAAGTTAAGATATTAGCGATAGAGTGTTGTTTGTTGTGCCATCAGTGGAACCAAAGCGAAAACCTGCGACTGCTGGACAGTGTACCCTGCATCGGCTGTCCTCTCGTGGGGGACTGCAGCGCGGAGGGCAGAGTCAATCCGAGAGAATGCACCTACCTTTCGCATTGGCTTGGACTCGATGTGGATGTAAGGCTTTAGGATTTTCACTCAACGTCTGTGAAGTGCGGGCTCATGCTTGAGATTGCTGAGGGAAAAGAATTGGGGTTCATGATGCAAGGATTAGGCATCATGGCAGTGCTGCTGCTCTTTTAGTGCATCGTCAGTGCATGTCCCAATGCTCTTGGAGGTTTTGGTTTGGATTTGTGCCAAGCATCTAGCTGCTTCTGTAATATGCTCTTCAGGGAGAGGCTCAGGGCGAGGAGGAGATTGACGCGTAGAGTTAAGTGTGCAGACTTATCAGATTGGACTGGTCTACTAGGGTTGCTCAATTGTGGTTTGCAGGGGTCGAGTAGATCATACGGCATTGTACTATGGGAGAGGGACTGCAGCAATGCTTCTCCAAATTGAACAATGATGGCACGTGGTTTTCCGGCAGTTGTAGGCGTCGCACATTATGCAGTTGCATATTTCCCACTACTGCGAGCTTGAAGTGTACTCCACAACAGCGGGTGAACCAACCAGCATGCACTAGCGGCCACGCCAAAACTGAAAATGCCTGCGCAAACACCCACATGACACTCGATTTACTTAACCAATCTGCCAACCTGCCTGTCTGTCCTGTCTGCCTGTCTACTCCTCTCGTGTACCCATGGGGTTTTTCGCCGCAAAGTGAAGACCTCTATTCCCCCAACAGACGCATTCTTCTAGATTCCCGTTATAAGTTACCTGCAGCGCACCTGTATCCAATACATATCTCCACTTGTGATCATTAACTTTCAACCTCCGCGTTACGGCGATATTGCTGACTTTTGACAGCGTCCTCTGGAACGCCAGATCCCAGGCACCTTATTGCAGAGATCCACATGCATCAACTAAGCCCTTCGGAGTTCAACCACACTCATTTTTCTGTCTCACAGGGAACCCTATGCCGCCGCAATTACACGTAGCAAACTGTGCCACGAAATTTGCCCCCCACTAGAGGTGTTTTACCTTCAGTTGTTTCTTGACAGGAACTCAGTTGTAGGCTTGCTTTGAATTCTAGCAAAAGCTCTCTATTGTTGCATTAACAAGTGCCTATACACATCGTTGAACACGCCAACATGTATTTTTCTACAGTACCACAGGCCGATGAGGCGTTTCAGAGGACCAGTACTGGTAAAGTTACTTCATAAAATAGTCAAGTGTGTGTAAAACCGATATTATACAACACAATCAGCTAGAAAATATCTGCACTAGGGGCGCAGGCACGACTGGAGGCCCCGGGTACGAGGCCTCCGGGACCGCTCGTGCGTGCAGAGCGAACGCAGAAGTGGGCAAAGGAGGAGTTTTGTATACGTTGTTACAACTTTCACGTTATGTATAACACTATCTTTGTTATAAAACAAAACATTTTGGAGCTAAGCCAATGGGAAGGTGCTGCTCCATTTCGTGTGTCCTGGGACAGAGACGTGCTGCGATACCCGTGACCATTGGCTTCAGTGGTTTCTGCTAGGGGCGGTTGGCGATAGTTATAATGAATGCTTTTTGGTTTAAGCATGAGGACATGTTTGAAATGTACTTTGATAATTGTACCCTGAAAAAAAGTTGCTTTCTGCTTCTTTTGCCGAAGATGTGGCGTATCCAATTGTTCCTACGATGTTCGTCGATGCTGCTGACTACTGTTGTCGCGGCAAACGGTCCGAATGGAACAGCAGACGTTTCTGTTCAGAGCAGTTATCATGAAAACCTTATTGAAGAACCAGTTCTTGATTCAAATGGTGACTTTGGCACCGTAGAGCCACGTAGGCGCGACCAGGGTACATTACTCATCGTCGCCAGTGTGGTAGTAGCGGTCCTCATCGTTCTCCACAGCTTGACTGCTGCACAACCCAGCAAGGAGAGTTTCGGAGACACTTTGGAAGAGCCACAAGCAGGAAGATATGAGGACGCCGTAAGCAACTTCCCAGAAGCGGGAAAGCACGCGCGCCACACCAGGCACACCACACTGGTATCACTTCAACCATCTAGAGGTATGGGGCATTTGAAGCCTTCCTACTGGCCTTTTGATGCACACTGTTGTATTTGACTGTCCCTCGACGGGTACTGCACGCCACTTTCTTGGAGGCGTTTGCGCACCAACACAACAGCACCTTTTAAGCCACAGCATTCAAGAGGCGTCGTTAGGGGACAGTGTTCGACTGTAGTAGATTGAGGTGAGCGTTGCCTTGAAAGTAATGTCTTGTAAAGCAGCCTACATCAACTAGAAGAGTGGCGCTGGCGTGCACGTGTGTGAACAGACGCTGGGGATGCGCGATCTATGCTTATATGGCTGACATGTCGGCACATGAAAACACTGTATATCAGGCTGTGAGGTTGGCAGCAATACATGTGGTCATACATGCTGGTATAAAGCATTTGTGTTCGCCGTGACAACTTTACTAGATGAGTGCCCACGACTTTTCTACACCAATGACAAGGAGGAATGTCGTTTCAGCCTAAGCCCATCGTTCATGGGAGGTCTGCATGGAGGACCACTGGTAGCGAAAGACGCGAACCAGGGGACTCGAGGGCCAACGGGCGGTGGAGAATATCGTGCGCTTGGAACATTCGGGAACAGCATAATAGTCGGTCAGAGGCGTTACTACTCTCTTTTAACACTGCAAGGGTTGTTCGTGTAAGACCTTGGTTTGGCTGGTATAAATTCCTGGGTTTAGTTCCTGCTAGAGCTAGAGCTTCCCCATAGGTGGTGGAAAGTAGGAGAGGGCTTCGCCAGATATAACCAACAGTATCAAAGTTGTGGCACTTGCGTGCACCCTTGCTCTCTACAAGTGTAGGAGTCACGTCCACTGTTTCTGCTGACCACCCATGTAGGTGATTTGACTTTAAGCTCAAAAATCAGGGAGTCCGTCAGATGGCGCCCACATAGCATAGCCGAAAATGAGTGTGGTGTCAATAGCCCGGCGAGGCTAATTAGGGGTTGGCAAGCCTTCATGCGCCCATGGCTGAAGTTATCTCATGTGAATGTCACACTGGTTTTTCGGGGGAGTGTGGTGTGCACCACAACATCTGCTCCCAATTCATGTATATCAATTATAGCAACCTGAATACCTGCAAGGCACATCTGCAAGGCACGTGGTTAGCAGTGTCGGTGGCGGGCTGGCTTGTATCGTGTCCCGCCTTGTCTGGTTCGAGTGATGGATATAGGCAGCTTGCTCCGTGGCAGCGGTGTCTGAGCAGGCAAATGCCGCAGATGATTCGTATCGGTTGCCACAGCCAGTATGTTTTGCTTTGGGGCAACGGGTTCGGACTGCCGTACGTATGTTACACTAGACATACTCAGCCGCACCTGAGCTTAATTGGTCCATGACTTTGAAGTTCGCTTCAGTAGTTTCAACGGAGGGCAGACGGTGCGTCCATCTTCCAAATGGTCCAATAAGCCGGCAGCTAGGCAAACCAGAAATTGGTACTGCGGCAGGACGGAGATCTGCTTCCGAGAATCGTCTTGTTGCCAGTACAACCCAGCATAATATGCGGCAGTAGTTTTGGCTGCGCGGTCGCGGCGTACGTATGCAGAGCTTCTAGCTGTTCCCGCCTAGTGCGTATTTGTAACTGCCGCTCGACGTGCCGGTTGAATTGTGTGGGCTAAAGCGGTTGCTGTATAAATCGCACATCTTAGAATATTGCTGTAGTGTACATGCCAGCAGCCGGAAGCCTTGTGAACGAAGGGAACAGGTAAACCGGAAGGCGGGCGCGTTTTCAGGAAGTTCGTCACACGGTTGGCATCGTGTATCCTTCCTCCAAGCACCGAAGTGTAGAAGAAAGGATCCTGAGTTGTTGAGTGTTGGCTCACACTACGGCTTACGATGGTGGGGACGAAACGTATGTTTGCTGGATGCTATGTATACAAAGAAGTGTTGAAATGGACGGACGCGGACTGAGCAGCAGACCGAAGACGTCGGATAGTCTTTGAACTCTACAGGAAGTTCGTCATAGGTGACGCGGGCAACATTCTTGGAGAATTGCAATAGCCGTGAGGGACTGGGCGTATTTTGATGCACTTTGGCTCTGAAGCATTTTAGGAGACAAGGGGTGCTTACTTCATGTTGGAAGAGAAACGCGGTGGAGAAACGAGGCAGAACAGACAGCCAGGCAGGCGTTCCCAATGGCAAGTGCGTTGGCAGGAAGTTCGTCGCAAAGAGCGATTCCGTTGTGGTTGCTCTTGTATGCTCTGACTAGTTACGAGAGGGAACGCATGTCTATTCCGTCATTAGCAGATTTTTGCTTAAGCAGCTCTTGCACTTCTAGTTTTGTAGGGCACAAGCAGTTGCATATTGGATAACGATGCGTGTGGTAAAGCGACGGTTACCTCCGCAGCTTATTGAGCCCGCAGGAAGTGCGTGACATACCTGCAAGATATTACGAAGGAGTTCCACGGCGAAATCTTGCAGGCTTGTGGCTAGAGTAGCAGTGGAACCAAGACAGCACCTAGTGGACGTTGGCAGTGCACGACTTCCTCGCGATGATCCATCAATTCTATGTGCATATATGGCAGTTATGGTGGGAGATGTAGAACTATGTACCTCGCGTTGTCTGTGGCAGTATTAGGGCTCTCAGTGGCCTGCACCGGGCTCTTCCCTTTGCTAGAATGCCAGTGCCACCAGTGTTTCGTGGGCTGGTTAGCCGGTTGTTGCAGAGAGAGAGAGGATGATGAGAGCCCAGCCTGTACGTGCTTGTGACCAATGCGACGACAGGACCAACTTCGATGCCTGTGGGACCCACCTCCTGGTGTGTGCGTTCTTCAGCATATCATTTCATAACGGTGCATAAGCTTAATCGATTCTTAGCGTGAGTTCCACACAATGCCAGGGGTAGCGTGCGGCGTGCATAGAAGCAGCTATGAACTCAGGCTTGGATAACGTGCTGGGTTAATTGCTCCCCATACGTGTTCCGTCCTTTAACTGGTTCCGTAGGAGGAAGGAACAGTGTGAGAAGCAGTAGGGTCCACACAAGATCGGTTGCATGGTCCACGGGAATGCTACAAGCAATTTTCGTTTACCTCGATGCGTTCGGGAAAAAGCATCTTTGTGTGCCGGCTTTAGGGGAGTGGCGGAATTTGATCACTTGCAAATAGGCCCAGCACATAAGCTTGGAGTGCTGTTCAGTCTCGCTCCGCATGCAAGGCTCTGAAGGTGTCAGGGCAAGTTGTTGGAAGCATCTTCGGGCTTTAACCTGAGGTGGGATTGTAGGTCTGTTGTGGAGCGTGTAGACCAATGCGGAAAGCACGGTAGGTTTTATTGGT